TTAATCTTGAAGTAATATAAAAAGAGAAGATTAGATGGGCACACCAATGAGAAGACTTGCATATGTGCTTAGGTCATTACCTAGCAACTTCACAAGTTGTCTCGCCCCCACTCCCTCATTCATTTATTCTCTCCTTCTATGGTCCACACAATGAATGCCACTTTCTTGTGTGTTGTCTGAGAGAGGAAAGATACAAAACTTTGTGCTTTTAAAAAGAGAGATTCCACAAAAACACGTCAGATCCCAAATCTCATTTATAATCCTAAAGAACCCCGTTTCTATGCGGGCATGTTCACATATATGTAGAAATACAGGAATCTTAAATAAATCTATTTTTTAGATAGATTTTTGGACTTAACTTTTAAAGATATGTAATATTTAATATGGAGATCATGAATATGAATAAGTAAATAAATTTTTAAAATTAAAAATAATAATTATAATAAAAAAATATTTGGACCGTTAGCTTCCATTGTTTTAGATTAAACACCTACTTGCATCCAGCTTTAAAATAGATGCTTTATACTTTTTGGACCGCATATATAATCACGCGGTCCAGCCAGCATGAGACAATTTTCCAATCCCAAATATATAATACAAAGTTTTGGTTACTTCTCAACATCAAGTAGCAATTCCTTGCCCATATTTTGATTTATTTTTCCACCTCTCTCTCTCTCTCTTATGAGTTATTGTTCAACCTCTCTCTCTCAATGTCCATGGGAAGGAAATAAACTGTAAGTTCTTAGCTTTTGGTCCTATGGAGACATATACCTTGCATCTATTAGACTTGTTTTCTTCCGAAATGGGAATTGCAAAATATACTTATATTTGTTATGGGAATGTATACAAAGAGACAATTTACCTATTATACAAAGAGGTCACAATTGCTTACAACCATCTGATGTAAAATTTGATGGCTTGAGTGTGTCATGAAATTTGAAAATGTTTTTTTGAACTTTATGCTTGGTTAATGGAATAAATGTAACCACCCAATTTCACATCCAAATATTAAGATTTATTCTAACCACCTTGTGCAAAAGGTAAATGGTGTTATTGCATACTTCTCCTTTTGTTATTTATACCTTTTATTGTTATGAGATTTGGAATTCTAATTGCCAACCATTTATACTAACATGGTTCAGGAATAATGGGAGATATATCCTAAATGCCACCCTGTGAATAGAAAAGCACAAACAAATGCATATATAGCAATCCCTTCCCTGAATATATCATGCCAGTATGTGTCGCTATCAATAATGAGTCAAAGGCCTTATCCATGTTCTTAGATTAGCTTACTGCCCTCTTAACACTTGGAGTTCAGACCAAGGGCCAAAGGCCAAATATCACTACTTTGTTTCGAGATCCGAGTCGGTAAGGTGGATCGTCTACCCTATAGATGCATGTCGCATTGCTGCATCACAAATCTAAATTGGTCCAAATTGACAATCCAAAAAAGTAAAAAAGTAAAAAGTAATAAAAAGAAAACTAGACTATTCTTTTACTTTTTTATAAAAAAAACTTTATAAGATTTTAAGGGGGGACCAAGGCTGTGTCAATACTTTCCTAGAACTGATTTGCTCACAGGCAATTCGCAATCGGGATCGGTGATTTCCAATCCAAATCCATGGTTTTCGAGACACAGACACTTCATATTGGCAACAACAAACGAAATTTTACAATAGCACGTACAGGGCAAGTGGAAATAATACGAGAGGGAGAGAGGAGGTGGGGGGAGGTTAATGAACCGGGAGGACTTAAAAAAACTATGGGAAATAAAATAATGATATCAGTTGATGGCAGGAAAGATGCCCAAATGACTTATGGGAAATGGTGACGAAGGTGACCACCGACTTTTGGTTGCGGTTCTCCCCTAAATCATTGGCCTCAAGTTTGCTAGCTATGGGCTTTAACCCTATTTTTCAATGCATTTTATTGTAGATATACCAAATCATATCATCGGAAAATTCACGAAATTAAATTGAATTGTGAAAGAAATTGAATTAAATTCTCTCTCTCTCTCTTTCTCTCTCTCTCCAGCAGATCAGAATTTTTTTTTAAAATGGGCTACAATTAGCAGCATTTTGTATTTCAAATACACATTCCAACAAAATATATCCATCTTAGACATCTTCCTTGTCTCTTACAAGATATAATAATTTTTTTTTAGATTAAAGCAGTAAAAATTTCATTGAACTTCCAAATCAAGGTTCATCTTGGAACACTGGAAAGAAATTGCACTGGGAACTGGTTCATACTGGTTGATCCAATCAAAAGGAAAAGAAAAAACAAACAATTCTAGAATTATATCTTTTCCATCTATAGTCCAGACCACACGTAGTAATTGTCATAAAGTCTACAAAATTTAATTTAAAAGCGTACCATTTTAGACATGATTTGAACGATCTCCTATTCTTATGAACTGTAGAAATTCAAAAAAATTAATTATAAGACAATTAGAAAAAAAAAATACATAGTGCATGCACACCACACAAAATAGCAAAAAGTGACAAGTTTCCTCCCCTTTGATTAAAAATTAAATAGATGAATAAACTAAATGTGAAAATATTTGTATATAATTAAAGGAAAAAAAAAAGTACCCAACTGGTCGGTGAGACAAGTTTCCATCCCCACCCACCTTCCTGTCTGGTCCTAATAACCTTGGATATAGACCGCAAAAAAATGAAAAAAAAAAAATAAAGGAAAAAAAATCCACAGTAATTGCCCATGGTTATTGGAAATCAGAATAGGAAAAAAAAAAAATGAAGGAAGAAGAAGAAGAAGACAATTTATATTTTGACTTGTAGAAAAATGAAAAACATCAAAAATTGTCCAGCACTTATCCATAGCAAGAACAAGAAAGAAAGGAAAAAGAAGAAATCAAAGAGGGAGAATTAACGTTATTAATATCCAAAATACATCTTGACGCCTACCGCAATTATCAAGAGGGCATAAATGCCAAAGAAGATGAGTGCATGGATGAGTATAGCAGGTGCATTTGTACGCAGACTCCCAAACTCCACCCCTCGATGCTCTCCTGGCAACTGAAATAACAGTCCCGGCGTAAGCAACACAAACAATACCACCCCAACTATCACAGGTGCCCAATCCGCTGCCATCTCTCGATTGATTGATCGAGAATTATATCTTTGAACCTAGATCTTGGGACAATTGGCGAATTATGATTCCTTTTCCCTTGATTTCATGAAGCACGAAAGAAGAACAAGTTCATGAACCAGAGAACCAAGGTTTGGTTTAGTGAGGAAGCAGGAAAAGAGACTGGGTCTATCCTCAAAAGCATGAACACACCAACAAAGCCTCAAATAGCAAAAGACAAAATGAAAAAGCCTTGACAAAAGGGTCAATTATTGTTATAGTACTATAGCATGTGCCATGATCTATTACATTATGTGGCCATAGACATGATGATATTGATGGCTGAGATGTTTGGATGTGGGCATGTAGGTTTGATATACAATCCGAACCGTTGATTTTGAATCTGGAAGTAAGAGAAGAGCTTGCACACGTGCATGACATGCTAACTGCCCTTCTGACAATTTTTTGACTCCTTGGAGTCATCTGGATCGTTTATCTGGTTTTGGTGAATTTAAGGTAGAAAATAACTGAATGATATGCTGAAATCGTTCTGTGAAACCTGCTAAAGAAGGATACTTTTAAAGTGCTTTTGGCAGGTAACAACAGTTCATACTTTGTATTATTTAGTAGAATGGTGGCCGTCAACTTTTCCAGGGGACGAAATAAAATTAGGTTGCAATATTTTAAGGGTGGCATAGGCCGGCCCTTGTCCCTAGGGCCGGGCCAGGACACAGCAAAAATAAATAAAGAAAAATAAAAGAAAAAAAGAAGAAAAAAAGAGAGCTAGGCTGGCCAGGCATACCCGGGCCAGCCCTGGTCCTAGCCCTACCCTCGAGCCACAATTTGTGGCCCAAGCCCTACTGTTTTAGGGCCGGGCCGACTGGGAATTTGTTAGGTAACTCTCTGAGTAGTAATAAAGAATTAGGAACCTCCAAACCTAAAACAGGGGTTGGAAAAAAAAAAATCCCAAAATAAGGACTAGAATACAAATACTTCCTACCCATGGAAACGATGGTCACTAGGCCATTGACGGATACCATCGTTCAAAACATCGGATTCAATATATTTTCTAGAGATGTTGAAAAGAAGCACAACCCATTTTTCTCTGAAGCTGAAAAGAATCACAAGCTTAACTTTGAAAAAAAGATTTAATAGAAACCAAGTCACAATATCCTTTAGCACAGCAATTCTTGCTTAAATCACTATCAATTTGGGGCAAAAACGTCCAACATCCAAATTTTGGTGACCTTTTTATTTGATTCAAATAACAGTCCTACATCTCATGCCTTTAGAATCTTCTGCAAACCAGCATTAAAAGAATCGGACTTGGGCTCTGAATTCACCGGAGGTCCAAGCTTGATTTTCCCTAGTCTGCCTTTGGTCAGAGTCCAGAGTGGGACTGGGAATTTTTAACAAGAAAAATTTAAAACATACTGAAAAACCATGAGATTAGGGTGATTCCAGGTTAGTTCAGCCCTGGATTGCCAGGCTCCAGGAACGGTGTACATTGGAGGAGTCCAAAATTTCAGTGTCGACCAAACAAGTACGAAACCCTGATTCTCAAATTAACTGCCCAAGTTTCAGAACTCGACGTTTTCCTTCTCAAAGGGTAAAGAACTCAAGGACCAAACACAAGAACATGCTTTCTGACAGGGCACATGATGAGAGAGAATCAAGATAAAGCTGAGGGAGAGAGAGAGAGACAAGCACAAAAGAATGGAATCCCTTACACGATAATCTCTTCAATATGTCTTGTCTCAGGACCTAGTATGGGTCATGGTGTGCCAAAGACTATTTATTTATCTTTTTATCATTTTTGCAGGAGAAATAAATGAATAAAAATCTATTGGACACATCAAAAGGAAAACAAAATAGGCAGATCTCTTCTCCAAACAACCCCACCAAGATGAAAAACAATACATTCTGTACATATTATTATACACAAGAAGCAATGATACAGAGTTGTTTTGTACAGCCAAGGATGGGTCAGATTCTATGGTTTATGGCTTCAAAATTTTGTATCTGTAAGGGAAAAATCGACCTCTACATTAACTAATTCATGTCATCATCCCCCATGTTGTCATCATCACCTTGCATGTGACCTTCATCAGCAAATCCACCAAATTCAGTCTGCACAAAGAGTGAGTGATATATCAGAGACTGATTACAATTGAAAATTTGGGATTTCAGGCTGAAATTGGGTCCATATGATTAAGCAAAAGAAAAAAAAAAGGGAGATTTCAAATAGCTGAATTTCTAGAATTATGGGCCGATTTTCAAATCAAATTTCAGAGGACCAAAATACTAGCACTCTATACATGCATGGTAAACATCGATATATACATCACAATCTATCTATCCATATATAAACCAGGTTGGACCTGTTCATCTAGGAATAATAGGAGCCCATTGGTGATCATTCACTTCCTCCACATGACCAGAGGGCAATCTAGTTTGAGGCATGTGAAAGTTAATTATGCAATTTTCTTTTGAAATGTTAACTTCGGAACTGGCGAGAATCGAACTCTAGACATCACATTATGGCACCTGCCACCCTGAACACCTCTGCCTGGAGCCTGTTTTCTTGCGCACTCTTGCGCATAATTTTTTTGTTCCAGCAGAGAGAAGATTCTGAGCTACCTATTATTATTAATTTTTAAGAGAAAAGAAAAAAAAAAGAAAGAAAAGAAAGATGCCTGGAACACCTCCATAAATTGTGTTATTTCTCTAAAAACATGCAACTTTGAAACTGGTTTCTGGACTGGTTTTTTTTTTTTCTAGATTAATTGTTTTATCCCTATTACAGAAAGTATGCTTAACAGTTGATATCCGAAATATCGGCATGGGGAAGGAGTACTCATTTAAAGTAAATTAATTGGACAAAGAACTGGTATGAGATTCCAACTTTTTTAAGCACATGCACAAGTTATAGAGAGGTTTGAAGCACTGGAATTTTCCCGAAGAGAAGAAGAAAAAGAAAAGGAGATGCATTATCATTTATGAATCATGGGTAATTACCTTAGCGTCTCTATACTTATCAATGATGCGAAGATATTGACTGCGTGCCCTAGGGGAATCAACCATGGAGAGCACTCTTTTGAGGGCCTGGTCAATACCCAACTCCACCTTTTCCTTACGAAAAAGCCTTGCAATGTCTTCTTCATCTTCCTCTTCAATGGACTCCAGATCAGCCTTAAACCCTCTAAGGCCAACGCCTTTCCGGCGCCACCTTAGTATGGCCTTCTCTAGAACCCCAGCAGCCCACAATAACTTTTTGTATTTCTTTCTGACTTGGTGCCCTCTCACATGAGCCTGCAAAATTTCAGAAGAGAACAAAAAAAGGAACACATCAGAGTAATGGTAAGGTGAACTTGATCCGTGCTTTCAAGTACGGAAAAAGTTTATATAAGGTTGAAACCTTATATGTAGATCTACGGATGCACCTCAAAAATCCATCGGAAAAGGTAGTTTTAATGTTGAAAAACCCTTTGATTGATCATCTCGACATCAAGATGTATGACCATGAAAAATAAAAAGATTTTAAGTCTCAGAAATAGTGCATTTTACAACATATAATATACACCGTCCATTTTCAAGATTTTCATATGTTTATAGATCTACTTGATTTTAACCATTTTTGAAATTTTAAATTTTATAATTAGATATAAAAATAGATTTTGATATAATCCTAAGAACATTTTACATCAAAATTATATACCATGATAAAATTCGAAGGTACACCTTACCTCTACAGCTACGGATGCATCCGCATGCTAACTGCACCCTTCAAGTAAATATTTCTATCTTTCATGTTCTTTTCTTAATAAAATGACTTCTAAATGGTTTGAAAATCATCTCTATTGGAGATGTTGATACAAATGGTGATGTCCACTTTCTATTTAATGGTTGTTTGCTGTACAATCTCAAATAGGGGAAATGGTTATAGGTACCACTGTTGGACTCGTGCCCAATGCATCTAACATGGCGCTGAGGTCTGGTGGAAAACCACGGGAACCAATTAAGTCTGATCAGTTCCCAAGGTATATTATGTTAAAACTTTTAAGACACAGCCAAGTCAACCTGACTTGGGCTTGGGGACCGCATTCAGGGTTTAAAACACTGGTTTTAGGCATCAACAAACACATGCAAGAGACTACTCAAGGGCTTGGTAAAGCTCAATGAAGCAGCATAAATCCTTGAATTCAGTTTTACAATCCATTTAATGATGCAACATGCCACATAATCTCAAGTTTTCAACATGATACGTCCCACCATTCGTGAAGATAGTGGCATTTACCCATCGAAGCCAAAACCATGTGAAAATGAAGCATTTCAAGCCTACTAAAAATTTCAATGGATGGAAGGTGCATATATCCAGCTTTCATTGATCATTCCATTGTGAGTAAATTTGATGTATATATGTACAAGTGATGCAGGAAGAAAAGGTGGAAATGAAAGCCACCCTCATTTTGATCCTCAAACAAACAAAAATCCATAATAAAAAAGTAGCATGGCTGTAAATCAAGCCAAGAGAAGATCATTCTACGTTCATAAAATAATTTACAATCCAAAATAACATAAGGTCACAATCGAACGCCCAACCTCTTTTATACAAGACAATCTCTTAAACGAATAAAAACATAAAACAAAATGAAATCCAAATATCCTATCTCACTCTACCTCATGCACCTTTCCCTTTAATTCAAGATTCCATTCCACGCAACTCCCACAAACCCATTAATCTAAGATCTACTCAAATTCACGTGCTTCTCTCTCTATATCCTAAACTTTAGCAGTTCTCTCCCTAGATACACAAACCTAGGGAAACAGGTCCTCTCCCTCTCTTTCCAACGTATTACTCTAGGAATCCCTTTAAAATAAGAAACACCACCAATGCCTTCAAACTAGGACCCCTCTCTCTAATCCTACTTTCATGGAGATCTATGTGATTGTTCATCATCCTAACAAGCCAAGAACCCCACATTAATCCTATAAGGAAAGAAATATTACTAATCATTGCCTTTAACCGTAACCCATAACCCGGAGGTTGTCCCGCCTAAGCGGGGTCCTAGGAGGGGTGGCTGGAAACAATCCTAACCTTTGGCTTATGCACAAAGTGGCCACTCTCAGGACTCGGACCCATGCTCTTTAACCACAACAATATTAAAAATAAATTCTAAACCCTATCCCACCATCATCACCATCATCATCACATGACTGATGCCAATTGCATCTGGAAGTGTTTTGGTCATTGGGACGTGATTGCCATTGTCTTTTATGTTTTGGGTCCCAGGATGATTTTAGTCATTTTGGGATTTGTTAAGGTCTAGGGAATTTGGTATATAAACAGGTAATTATTGTGTGAAAGTTTCTATGAGTCCAAAAGTTAAAAATTGTAGTTTCAATGCTTAGATGTTTGGTTTCATGCACGGGAGTTTGGGTTCATGTACGTTGCATGCAAGTATGGGAAATAGTACATAGGGGTAATCTAGTCAATTTCACACTTTGTTAGAGGTATTTTAGTCATTTTCTAGTTCCAGCAAACTGCTTTATATGTATGGAACATTGTGGTAACAATTGGTTAGCTTTGTTGATAATTTGTTTAATGAAATAAAAAATTCTTCCTTCTAGTTGTTGTAGAGAGAGAAAGAGATTTCCCATCCTTGTGTATTACGAATACCTTGAGTTGGAAGGCCATTCTTGTGTACTGCAAGTACCTTGAGTTGGAAGGACATCCTTGTGTATTGCGAGTACCTTGAGTTGGAAGGCCTGGAAAGAGTTAGGGCTGAAGATCCCTTCCTCGTCATTCCCTTGTTCTAGAGTAAGGAAGCCGGATCATTGTTGCACAATCAGCCTCGAATCTATACTTTGCAGTGCCAGTTTGCACCATTTGGTATAAGAGTGAGGTTGGTGAGCTTCATTGATTATGATGGCTGCTCGTGGTAGGCGTCATGGCTGAAGAAATGTAGGTCATGAACTCGATAGTTTGGCAAAAACCGTGTACAATCTAATGGAGTCAGTGGCTGTGCTTTTGCAAGATAGAAATCAATAGAATGCGAGAAGATCCCCAGCCAAAATTCCATCCATGAGGGCATGTTTGGAGATAAACCATGAGTCAGCGATGGAGATGACTTCACGTAGCTTATAATCGATGACTGATTCACGCGAAAGCATAGGTTCACAACGGGTATCAAGAAGGCATGAGACGGATGGTGACTCAAGTGTCCAAACTGGGAGGAATGGGTAAGCATGACGTGAAGACGACTTAGGTATTAAAGTTGACTTCTATCAACAGAAAAGTATTTAGATTGGTTGAGCAATATAAAGATTCTTTGAATGGAAGGATTTGTCAAATTCAAAGAAGGTAAAATTAGTTGCAATATGCTTCGGGGACTTGCATCCATTTGGTGGGATCAAGTTCAGGAAGCTAAATTGCCAAAGGGGAAAAATAAGATTCGACCTTGGGCAAAAATGATGGCAAAGTTGCGTGAGCAATTTCTTCCTCCAAACCTTGTACAAACCGATAAACAGTTCCATCAACTGCATCAAGGATCGAAGTCAATATGTGAGTATATGGAAGCATTCCATTGCTTGTCCTTGCGCACGAGGTTGGATGAGACACAGGACTAACGAGTGGCAAGGTATATCACAGGTTTGCAGCTTCAAATCCAAAATGAACTCTCCTTACAACATCTGTCCCAAGTAGAAATGACATATCAGGCTGCATTGCTAGCTGAGGAGAGGCAAAGAAGGAGTACTAGTTGGAGGCCAGGAGTAGGTATGCCACAGCCCAAGAGGGTGACGCCTCCAACCCGAAGAGTTGCTGGCCCAATTAAGGAAAGGACATCAAATGATCGATCATGGGCTGTACCACCATACAACACTTGCTTGTGATCCTGGACAAATGAGCATCTAGTGTACAGTGCTTCCAATGTAATGAAGTGAGGGCAGCAGCGTGACCATCAGCTGCTGCCCAACGGCATGCTAATCTATCCGAAGCTGAGGAAAGTGGTGAAAAGGAAGAGGTGGCAGTTGCTGATTTTGGAGAGCTGGTGTATGATGAAGAGTTTGGTCAAGATGGATAAGGAGAGGAGGTGCCTGTGGACCAAGGATAGATGTTGCTGGTCTAAAGGGTTCTCTCTCATTCTAAAGCCCCACAAGATGATAGCTAACTGAGATCAAATATATTTCGCATCCGGTGTACTCATGATGGGAGAGTGTGCCACCTAATCATCAATAGCGGCAATTGCGAGAACATGGTGTCAAGATGCTGTTGATAAGTTGCGACTAAAGGTGCTTGGTTCAAAAGAGGAGTTGAGGTACCCGTTAATTCCTATTGTCTTATTATATTTTCTATTAATAATTTTTATAAAACAGATGAGGTGTGGTGTGATGTTGCACCAATGAATGCATGCCATATATTGCTGGGTCGCCCATGGCAAGATGATCACAAGACATTCCATAATGGTGAGCGTAACACTTATACTTTTTGGAAAGATGGGTGAAAGATTGTTTTATTGCCATGGTGAGAAAACGTTTCACCTAAATCCATCAAGGAAGAGGGTTTGGCTTTGCTCTAATATCGAAAATTTGTTGAAGTTAATAAAGAAGTGGGCAAACTTTTCGTGATAGGCAAAAAAGAGTTTAAGAATAATGTTCTATGGTGCTAGAAACCTTTAAGCCTCTAATGGATGAATTTGTTGACTTTATGCCAGAAGAATTACCAGCTGGATTACTGCCAAATAAGGAGTATACAACACTGTATTGACCTTATTCCGTGATCTAGTTTGCCAAATTTACCGGCATATCGAATGAGTCGTAAGGGGCATGAGGAGTTACAACGCCAAGTTAATGAATTGATAAGGGACTGATTTGACCAAGTATGAGCCCATGTGCTGTCCAACACTACTCACACCTAAAAAAGATGTTTCATGACACATGTGTGTTGATAACCAAGCCATAAACAAGATTACCCTTAAGTACCAGTTTCCAATTCCGAGACTTGGCGACATGGTAGACATGTTGGCTGGTTCTTCGGTGTTCTTGAAAATAGATTTGAGGTGTGGGTATCACCAAATTTGAATTCGAGAAAGGGATAACTGGAAAACAGCCTTTAGGACAAAGAATGACTTGTTTGAGTGGCTTGTCATGCCATTTCGATTGTCCAATGAACCTACCACTTTCATGCACTTGATGACTCAAGTCTTGCGAGATTTCCTTGGCAAGTTTGTCGTCGTGTATTTTGATGATATTTTGATATATAGTTCTGATCCAGAGGCACACTTTAGTCATTTGCACTTATTGTTTTGAGG